TTAGCCAATATGTGTCTCTTAATTGGAGAATTTATTTCATTAACATTGAACATCATTATTGTTATTTCTGGATTTGCCCCTACCATTAAGTTGACCATTTCCTTGGTTGTTGTTTGTTTGTTTTTTTCTCTTATTTCTGTCTGTTTTTTGTTTGTTTGTTTGTTTTCCTGGTATAACACTCTCTCATAACTTTTTGAAGAGCTGGTCTGGTTCAATAAATTTCTTTAGGTTTTGTTTCCATGAGAAATATTTTATCTTTTCTTCCCATTTGAAAGATATACTTGCTGGGTATAGTAAACTGTTGGAATTGTTTTTTGCTTAACACTTTTAATATAACTACCCATTCTTTTCTTGTTTGAATTGTTTCTGATGAAAGGTCCATTGTTAGACTGATGGGATAACCTTTGTCAGTAACTTGATGTCTCTCTCATGCCAGTTTTAGTATCTTGTCTTTATGTGATTTTGGCCTTGATGCACCATGGAAAGGATCTTCTTGGGTTGATTCTATTTAGGATCCTTTGTATTTCTTTGGGCCTGGATGTTAGAATGCTTCTCTAGGCTTGAAAAGTTTTCTTCCAGGATTTCATGGAACAGATTATCAATGCCTTTATAAGTTTCTTCACCTTCTGGGATGCCAAATATTATGATGTTTGTATGTTTAAAGGTATCTGGCATTTCTCATATGTTATCCTCATTTGTTTGGTTATTTTTTCTTTTTAATGATTTTAGGTCAGAGGAGAGGCTTTTTTCTTCTTGATCTGAGATTCAGTATTCTGAATGATCTAATTTTTTTGAATACTTTCAAGGGAGGTTTTGTTTCCCGTATTACATCATTCATCATTAACAGTTTTGTTTTTTCTTTTTTATGGTGCATAATTCTTTCTTCAAATTGTTGAAGGACTTCCTCATCTTCTCAAGTTTGTTGTCCATTTTCTCTTGCATTTCATTTAGTTTTGTCACAATGAATATTCTGAATTATTTATCTGACATTTCCACAAGTTCTTTTATACTGTCTGTGGTTGATGAGAAATTGTTCTTTTCCCTTGAAGGAGAGATATTTTCTTGTTTTTTCATATTTCTTGTGCCTCTTCACTGGTTTCTTATCATCTGGTGGATTATACATTTCTTCCTAATTTACTGAAATTAATTATGAGAGTCAAAAGCATGTAGAAGGAGGTGAGCTGTGGTCTCTCTGCAGCTCTGTATCCCTGATGCTTATCCTGTAACCTTCACCAATGTTGCTGGAACTGGGTATTCTAATGACCTCCAGTTTCTTGAGAACAGGTGCAACTGGAGTTGAACTGGAGGTTTCAACTGGGAAAGAAAGTAGGCATTGTGCTCCATGTGCTTCTGAAAACTATGAAGTTTGAAAGCATTGCTGAGTGGGCAAAAGGTAGCTAGAAGTCTAAAGCGGTCTCCTGCCTCCACTGTTCTCACTGACTGCTTCTCTGTGCAGGCTCTATGGCTAATGGTGGAGGGGGGAAGTGGAAGCAGGAGGATCTGGTCACTCAGAACAGCTGGGAGGCAGTGGAATTCCCAAGACAGTCTCTGGCCTCAGTGTTTTCAATGACTGCCACTCTGTAGCAGGGTCTGGGGCAAATGGCGAGGGAAGAGGCAGAAGTAGGAGGATCTAGGCACTTCGAATAGCCGGGAGACAGTGTAGTTCCCAAGGTGATCTCTGGCTTCATTTTTCTCACTGATTGCCATTCTGTGCAGGGTCCAGGGGCACTATTTGAACATCTTAACACTTTAAGTGGTCTGAAGCAAATATAGTAAAGTGTTAAATATGCCTATGTCTATGTTGCTGTTCACTTTAATCCTACATTTTTTCCTACATTACTGAACAATTACTAGCGAAATCATGTCTTTTCTTTTTTAAAATAAAACAAAATGGTGAATGTGAATGCAAGAGGTCTAGTGATCCATGGGTGATATATGAGCTCACTGGGAAGCTCCCATTCAGGGGAATGTAAGGAGGAGCATTGACTGGAGGAGGATGGGGCATGGCCAGCTGGTTCTAAAGACACTTCTATGGTCTCCTTGGGAAAACTTAGTTTTTGTGATTTGTGCTTCTGAGACACTCCCTGGGCAATTTCTGAAGGAGAACAGCCTGCTAGCTAAGTAGTTTCAGGTGAGCATGTCACAAGTGGGTGGAGCAAGTTATGAAGGCTAGTTTCTGCACCTGTATTGATTGTGAACCTTGTGATCCTATCTTCATATTTAAGATTTCTGTGCTAATGATGTTTGCTCGGTTATACTCCAACATACTTATAAAAATTTATTTAAAAACTCTCAGAAAAAAGATCTTTGGAATAAAACCTTCCAAAGCACATTCTAGGACTTTCATGATGAGGGAGGTGGACCCATCTTACAGAGGACTGAGATGAGGATGGGACCTGAAGCATTACCTAAAACAGCTTTAATCCGGATATATTTGAAATAAATGAGATCAAAGGGTACAGTTGTGCACATAAAACATCCCTAGTGACAGCACACCTCAGAATTAAGAACACTGCATATTAAGTTCCCCACAGAAGATGAATTAGGTCCCATAAGGTCATGGAAACACAGGTGGGGACGTTCTAGGCTCCATAATTCCTGGTTCGGACATTTCAGGCGTCATAATTCCTGGCTCAGCAGCTGCACACAGATGCTTGAGGAGGTTGCAGAAGGGCTTCACAGGCTGTGCCTTCAGTCCCGACTCCCAGCCTTTGACCGAGCACCTCCTATGAGACCTGTGCCCAGTGCTGGCAGGGCTGACCGCTGAGCAAATCTGGGGTTATCCTGACAGATCATTGGCCGCGTGGCCAGAATGGGACCATCACCAATACTATCCAGTTCACAGAAACTTGGAGGACATCAGGAACTCTGAAGTTGGGATAACAGGGCAGCAAAAATTGGATAGCCATATGAGTCTCGACCAGCCTTCACACTCCTAGTGGCAGGTCTTCCTAGTGTTGTCAGCTGGAGCCTCCTCAGGAAGCTCCGCTTTCTCTTGGGTCTGCTTCCCAGTGGAGTTGAGAGAAGGCTCTGGAGCTGAGACCTCCTGAGACACCCAGGATGCACCAGAACCTAAAGTGTGGCCTGTAGTCGGCCACCTGACCTAGGGAGTCTAGTACCATCAGGAAGAATGTATAAGGTGAAATAGCAAGGGCTTCGAGCACACATTGAGCACCTACTGTATACGAGCGCCATGAGTTCCTGAGGTTGGATGCAATGGCATTCTTATAGGTCCTTTTTCACTCTGTTTACCATGTTCTGGTTCATATTTCACACTGCACTTGCAAAGTGTCATGTCTCCTCTCCTCCTCTGTGATCTGTGTGTTGACATGAGTGAAATGTAAAACTGCTTCATTTCTTTGTGGTGGCTTCTGACTCAAGGACCCCAAGTGCCCGTCAGGAAGAAAGAACCTGAGATTTGTTCCCTGTCATACTCAGGCTGGGTGCTATTACAGTATATTACAAACAGGGTGGTGGCCTACATGACTGAAGTTTATATGTCCCCATCTGGAGGCAGAAGCCCATGGTAAGTTTCCAGCATGGTCAGATTCTGGTGAGGGCTCCTTTCCTGACTCGAGAAGGCTGCCTTCTCACTGCGTCCTCACAGGCAGAGACAGAGAGCACTCTGATCCCTTCATCTGCTCAAAGGGGCTCGGATCTATCCTGGCCCCCTTCTCATGTCCTCATGTCACCCTAGCTACGTCCCAGGACCTCACCTCCAAATGCCATCACAGGGGCTTAGGGCTTCAGCATGAGCATGCAGGTCTATGAGGTCTCAGCTCTGGAACTGCAGACAGTGTGACCCACACTGCTCCAGGTGGGCTCATGATCCTGGTGACAGGAGGCCGTGGTGCATGAGGGAGGGACTATCCTAGTGTGAGTGTAAGTCTGTGCCTGCCTCAGTTCCACTCATGGTTAGGCCTCGGTGGGAAAGGGATAGTAATGGTGAGTACACCAGACATGACCTGGAGACAGCAAGGTCAGTCCCTAGGATCATGACAGGTTGGGTCCCCTCAGTCAGTTGAATAAGACTCCCCACCTAGAAAGCAGGGAAAGGGCCCTCACCTGCCCCTTCTACAGTCATATCCCAAATGCTCCCACTTTCTGACCCTCCTCTCAGTGCAGCACTCTCTTCTCCCCTGGTTAGGATCCAGATGTGCTGCATCCACTGCTCAGTTTCACATCTCCCCTAGGCTAGGGAGATGCCCTCTCTGAGCCTGGAACCAGGACCGTGGAATCCAGGCCCTTCCACTCCCCCTACACCAGGAAAAGCCCAAGCTGCAAGGAGGGCCCTTCCAGCCTTTCCCTCTGGCCTCTTTCAGGGAAGCAGAAAGAAGTTCCCCCAAGAAAAGTGCCAGGCCCAAGTCCAAGGTCAGAAAATTGGTTAGTAGTCTGAAGGTCAGAGTGTTCCAGAGCACCTAAGTATTGAAAGGTGTTTAAGGGGATCAGAGAACAAGGAATACTCAGGGGAGGCCCCTTAACCAGCGAGGTACACCTACAACACAGATGAGGAAGAAGCTGTGGGGATGTCAGTGTCTGTCACCTCCCAGAAGCAGCGTCAGGGAGCTACTAAATGTGGAAAGTCCTCAGTCCATCACCTAGTCTGCTGGAGTCTGGCTCATGCCAGTCCTGCATCCTCTCTGTCCTTCCTACACTAAGCCATATAGCCAAGAGTGCAGAGGGCAGTGCCCTAAGGGCATTTCCAACAAAGCAGTCTTTATGTATATAGGAGGCCCAACCAGGAAGGACTGCCTTCCCAATCCCCCATCACCACCCTTCAGCCCCCAGACATGCCCACCCACCCCCATGCTCCCCAGTCTAAGGAACAACTGGGCCATCAAGGCTGGGGGCTCCCTTGGTCCCTTTGAGGTGCAGGCTGCAGACAGTGCAACATATAGTCCAGGCCCTCCCCAAAGGCTGGCCCACAGAGGCCCCCACAGCCCTACTGGACCCAATGTTGCTTCTTGCTCTGCCCCAAGGTCAATATATTCCACTGTCTCTTACAGCTGTGAGGGTCCAGTCAGGCCCAGAGCTAGGACTTGCTCCCCAGAGACCCCAAACTCAGGACTCAGTTTCAGCTTCTTACTGCTAGGGATGGGACCTCCAATGACATCTCGCTTCTTTGACTTGGAAGGCAGATGGGTAGCTGAGCTCAGGCCTCTTCTCTGTGCAGATCTGGCCTTGGTTGCTCCCCGGTGCCTGCGACCTCCAGGACGGAGACGGCCCGAGGTGGAGGCGGGGCTCAGAGGTGGCACCCAGGGCAGCAGGCTGTGCAGGGAGGCCATGAAGAAGGCCAGGCTGGGGAGCTGCTCTTCATCCTCGCTGGACCCATCTGCTGGCCAGCGTGTCCCCCTGACAGGCGAGGTGCCTACACTGCCTAAGGCTCCCCTGGTCCCCAGGCAAGGATGAGAAAATCTGTGTCCCTGTTGAGGAGAGGCTGGCCCAGCAGTGCTCAGTGGGTGTTGGCCCCACATGACCTGGGAAGATATCAGTGTCCTTAGGCTACAGAAGGTCAGCATCTCCTTTGTGGTATTCCTCAGAGTCCTGGGCTGCCTTCTGTGGGAGGTGGGTCTCCATGCTGATCCCCTCTCTACATCTTGTATGGCCACAGACTTAAAAGTACTAGACCCTAGTACAGGTGCTCCAGGACCCAGGGCTGCCTCCTCACTCCTGTCCTCCTCCAGGACTAGGGGGTGCTTCTCCACCAGTGGGGAGGAAGGAGAGTGGACATGGCCTTCTCTGTGCCAGATGTTGGAAGAGGAAGTAGTTTAGTTTGGTGACTTTAAAGGAGGCAGGAAGCTGAGCATTCTTGTCACCCTGGTCTACTTTGCTCCTACCTGATTTACCTGGTATCCCTCCCTCCTGATGTACACGATATTCCTCCCTCCTGTCATACCCACTGTCCCTTTTCTGATGTAACCTGGTATCCCTCCCTCCTGATGTACACGATGTTCCTCCCTCCTGTCATACCCAGTGTCCCTTTTCTGATTTCCCAGGTGTCCCCTTTTCCCTGGTCTACCAGGTGTCTTGCCCTCCCTGGTCTACCTGGGCTCCATCCCCCTGTCCACTCTGCTGTCCCGCTCTCCTTTTTCTGCCTGGTGTCCCTCCCTTCCTGTAGTACCTGATCTGGGGTGAGCCCTTCCTCCTGCTCCAGCTCCTCCATTAGGACCAAGAGATCCATCCCTGGTTTTGGGGAGAGTAGTTCTGCAAGGAATTGGGGGTGAAGGATGGCCTCCACCTAGGGTGGAAGGAAGAGAGCTGTCGGGACCTTGGAAAGAGGAGCCTGGGGCCCGGGGACCAGGGGGACAGGCAGAACGCAACCCCATCCCATCCCCTTGCACACTGCCAGGGACTGTAAGTAGTGGAATCCACCTATTATGCACACAAACCCACACAAACACACACACACACACACACACACACACACCACATACAGATACTTACATGAATACACAGAAAAAGAAACACTGATAGATGTACATGTAACATATACATGTCTGTGGCCATACAGAGAATTTCACAGAAATGTAAATCACGCCCAGACACCCACATACACACACACTGACACATATGGAAACTAAAACGACACTACCATCCCCATAACCCTGACCCACAGAGACACATACCACAGACACATATGGTAAATCACACATTGAACAAAGAAACACTTAATATACAGAAACACTTAAGACAAAGGAATGAAAGAAGCCAAGACACTCATAAAAAGACACATACTACATGCACACACCTGTAGAACTTACACATTAACCAAACACACAATCACAGGAACATTTAGACACATACTCACATACACATACAGAACAGCCTAACTAGCAAACAGACTCATTCCCACATACACACACGTAGCAGCCACAGTAGCACATGAATGTGTAACTACATACACATAGACAACCACAGTAGCATATAGACAAACATCAACATACACAAGCATACAGGGCGGGAGAAGAGAAGCACATGGAGAAGGATAGCAAGAGAACAAATAGAGAGGCATGACTTTAGTGGGATTCAAATATGGTTTATTACCTGTTGATGATGACGTGTATAGTATTCTCAACTGGACAGGTCTGAGAAGTATTTCATGTTAGATAAAGCCTTTATACAAGCAAAATGACAAATAGTGATTGAATATTTTAAAAAATTGGAATAATAATAATCTGGAAAACAAATGAAAAGCTATTGGGTGACGATGATGGGGATTTTAATGTGTTTGTACTGACGGGTATGAATGATGGTCCTTCTGGAAAAAGAAATGTACTGCACTGTAAAGTTATATGCGATTCAATGTAATATAAACAAGATTATGATAATAATAAAAAATTTTAAAAATAGATTCATAGAAACAAAGTACACAGACAACCACCGTAACATAAACACAAGCACTGATATACACACATGCCCCCTCGTATATACACATTGACGATCACAGCAGCATATACACATGCATCCACAGACCCACATAGCAACCATAACATATGGAGATGCACCCACATACACGCACACGCTCACTCCCCCAGTCAAGAGCTGAGCAGTACAGCTGAGTTCCTAGGCCTGGGGGACTCCCCAGAATATGCAGACACCAGCACCCAGGACAGCCCACCTTGGTGACAAAGTCCTCCTGGGAGCACAGCTCTTCCATGTAGCTCAGGAGCCCCAGGTCGGGGAATGCCCCATCCTCCTGTCCGGGCTGGACGGCATCCTCTGCCCACTGGCCACCGTGTCCCAGCAGCCCCTTCATGATGTCCACATACTCTTGCATGGCCTCAGGCAGGATGTCCTTTGGCCTCTTGGGGTCTGACCTCTGAGGAGCGCTGGATGGTAACAGGTGGCGGGGCATGGCCTTGGGGCAGGTCTTCCTGGAGACACTGCACCCTAGGAGGAGGGAAAAGGACCAGCATGTGGCAGGGGGCTCCAGCTGCCACTCCCACCACATTGGGACTTGGACAGGATGCAAAGGACAGAAGGTGGGACTGGGCTCTACCCCAGGACCCATGAGGGGTGGACATCTATGTGAGGGGCAGGTGGAAGGGAGTTTGGAGCCATCCCTGGCCCAGATTCTCTCCCCATTGGGCCCCTTCCTGGTCAGGCTGTTTGTTGAGTCTTTGGAGAACAAGAAGAGAGTAGCTGAGACCCATGCCCAGGCCAGTCCTCACTTCATGGCCTTGGGCAGTCAAGATCCCAGTGTGCTCCTTGCTTGCAAGGGCAAATGCCCTCTTTACTGAACAGTAGGGGACATGGGGACAGTGGCCTCCTCAGGCCCTTGGGCCTGTTCCAGGTGACTGTCAGCCTGTGGGTCCAAACCTGGCTTCTGGACAACCTCGGGGATCAGGAGCCCTGGAGGGTCAGGCTCCGGTGGGGCTGCAGAAGACCGGCACTGGGAGCCCTTCAGCCAGTGCAGCTGCTGAATCTTCTCCTCAGCCTCCAACTCCACGGACC